TGTTGTTATTACAGTTTTCCCAGTTTTGTTAACTTTTCAATTAAGCTGTTGGTAAAATCGCGGCTACTGGCATTAAAGTCTCATGTTCGTAAAACATAAAATTAACTCAGTGTATTTTAAATGCGAGCATATGTAAGTATGTATGTATGTGTGGGTATATAACGGCATATCACTTACTCGTATTTACATATGTATATGTAGATATACTATACAAGTATTATTTAACCACCGAACATTTTATTAGAAATAACTACATAAAACTTAATTATTTGCATAATTTATTTGAATTCGTGTAAACGAAAAACAACAACTTTATTTTTCCAATACAATTATTTACTTGTACAATATCAATAACACAAATTTTTGACTGCATTGTTTTGAACAACACAACACGCAATTACTGCAACCAACTAAATGCATGTAAGTATGTAAACAAAAATAAAAATAGATATAGCATATAAAGTACAAATTTTTAGAAATTATTTAAATTATGTTTGAAATGCTCACTCTATTTTAAAATGACCTAAAAAAAGGAAACTCTTTTGAAAAAGTTGAATTAAGTTTAACTTACTCTAGTACATATGTATGTACATCTGTGCTTATTATGTAAAAAAAAACTAAAAAAATTATTTGGTGCTCACAATTTTCCAAATATTTGTCCAAGCTTCTCTTTTCATTTATGGTGTNTTTTTTTTTTTGGAAACGTCATAATTGTTTTATTTTCTATAAAAGTAGCAATTTTCAGGTAGCACAGAGAAAAAAAAAAATATTGTCTAAAAATTTAACATCCTAATGTACATACGTACATAAGTATGTATCGATTTCAAACCAGGCGAACTAGTTAGTTAATTCCCAGAGTAGGCAAATATAATGACAGACAGCGTACATTAAAAACTGAAACCATTGGGCGCGAAAATTTCAAAATGAGTTCACTTATTAGCGCATAGAGCGAATGGCAGGCAATCTCCATGAAAACATACAGCGGGGAAATCAAAATTAATGTGCCACAAATGAATCCAAATTAAGAGTCGAAATAATGCATGTATGTACCAATACACATATATGCACTTGTTTTCGTGTATAATAGATCATTTAATACCATAATGACGCGTGAATTGGAAACAGAGCTTCAATATCATTTTATGCAAACAAGTAATAAATTTGTGTATGTATGTATGTATGTACCTATGTGCTAATGCAAAAAGTCAAATTTGTATGTTAAAAACATGTTTGTGGAGTGATATTGGTTAAAAGCTTATTTGTAGCATAACCATTAGTATGAATAATTAACAAACAACTTTGCATAAAAATATTTTTTTCAACTGACACAATATACAGTGAATCATTAACGTACACTGACTATTATTGATATTTATAAAGCTGAAATTTTTTGTAGTGAAACTTCTTTGCATTCGGTTGGACTCTAATTCCAAACTATAAAGCGACACAAAAAGTTAGGTGATAGCGGGGTTATTGGACTCGATTAAAATTAAGATTTAGATCGAGATTCAGAGTAAAATTGAAAAAAAAAACCGGTTCATTATTATGCAGATAAATACTCGTATAAAATTAAAAAAAAATGCTTAGCTTCTAGATGTGCAATGAGGTGTTTTTTTTTTGCAGTAAAACTTGCCACCTATTAAAGAATTAAATTAAAATTATTTAATTTTCAATGTTTTGCAGATCTGCATCGGTCGTTCGAAATGTGGTGTCAAATTTTAGGGCTTGCCCTGTAAATGTTAACAAAGGTTTTATTTTATCGAAAAGAAATGAATTGAAATATGTGTCACAATGTGTGTGTCAGAAGGAAGAGGTTGAAGAATGTTTAGCATGAAAATATTTTCGAGAGGGCTGACACCTTGGGTTGCCCAGATATTTTAGTGATCGACTTTTACATAAACACATATAGTATTATCAACATAACAATTCATTAGTTTAAAACAAATCGAAGGTACTACGTATGTACATAAATTTGTACAGTTGTGTTCACAAAAATTGTAGTAAAATGTATTGACACATTTTGAAATTTTTTTCCTTCCTTACTTAATTTGAATTATTTATAAAAATATGTAAGTTGAAGTCTCAAACTTACTAGAAAATATATAAAAAAAAATTGAAAAAGTTAAAAAAATTTCCATCAAAATATCAACTTTTTCATCTGAATTTTTGAAAAAAATTTGGAGTACACAGTTTTGTAGCCCATTCAGTTTCAATGGAAGACACCAGCTCGAGTCAGAATTTGTTTGCTTATTTTAAGCTACAAATATAAACATATAAAACATACACATTAAAATGTTCACTGAAAGGTGTGTAATACCGAATTATCGCTAAACGAATTTTCGAGTACGAATTAAATTGAATAGTTTTAAATGTGTCTGTGCAAGTAAAATTACAGGTGGTCGAACATCAAAAATCAAAGTAAAGCTACATACATATACATATATATCATAACCAAGAGTCGGTAGTGTGCGCCTTTTCCAAATTTTTAGAACTTCCAGAATTTCTAGAAGTTTTGGAGAACGAAAAATGACACTAAAGATGGCACAACGCCGAAACCGGTTTGTCTCCAAACCAAATTTGACAAGGGATGACGGAAATTCATTCCAAAATACATCATACATCCACCCTGTCGGAAACAACAACAAACAAAAAGTAAAGGCTTTGTTGTATTTTAATTTTTTTAATTTTTTTTGAATTGCAATGCCACTTTTTTCACATCACCAGAAGAGTTTAAATCTCAATGTATATACATATATTCCCCCTAGTGGAGCATAGTAATACATAAAATTAAAATTTCCATAAATTGGTTTAATTAAGTGAAATTGCCATGCCTTACTATCAAAACAGCAGCGCCTGCAAAAATAAAAAATCCAAAATATTCCACGAAAAGAGCGTTTAATGTAAAAATATCACGCTTATAAATATTTAATATTAATTACTACACACACACACACATGCATACACACAAACCATGCAGGTGGCTTTTTAATTGCATGTCTATGTTGACACATAAAAGTTAAGGTGGTTTTAATATAAATGTAATAAAATGGTAATTAAAAAGCTGAAAGTAAATTGGCGATTTAAATAAATATATCCTGAGATAATTTTATATTAAATTTAATTATGTAAATAAAGGTGGTGGGCAAAAATAGACAACTGACTATTATTTATTTCCGCTCCTGAGTGAAGAGCAGTCTCCCATAGTGCTTGTTTTTATTTTCATCGAATTTAAAATCACCCATTACCGATTAAAAAAGTTCTTAATTAAAAAAAAAATAAATAAAACGAAAATGCGCTTTTATTTAATTTTATCTTTTTAAGTAAATAGAATTAGGAGGACGAAATTCGAGGATGGTTCTTGGGTATATTAGTTCTTAATGTATATTTTTTTCCAAAATAAGTATTGCAAACTTTCAAGGACATTCAAAGATACAATTTTAAAAGGAAATTTTCAATACCTATATCTTATTACATTAAACGAGCAATTATATATACATACATATATCCATAGGGTTCTCTGAAACTGCTCCAACGATTTTGATGAAATTTTGTAAACAGGTAATATTTTGGATTTTAAGGTTATATGAATAGGCACTACCTCCGAGAAGACTCGTATAAGGTTGCCACCTGTTCGAACCTAGTTACAAATTAATTAAAGCATCATAATATGGGTATCCAATGAAAGGTATTTTAAAGATCCGTAATTCAAAAATATTTTTAACAGGGTTGCCTCCTATTTTGAATCGCATATTTATTTAATTTTTTGTTTAGCAAAAAAAGGTTGGTTCATGGGTACCAAGTGAAGGTTCTTAAACAATTCTTTCCATATATACAAAATATTATCTCTTAGGATAATAGATTAAGGTTGCCACTTATTTTCGATTCGACACAATTTATCTAAAACATCGCAATATGGATATCAAATAAAAGGTATTGTTGAGAACTTTGGTCAGAAAATATTTTCCATCAGTGTTGCCATGCTTCTATGTAATCCATATTTTTATTTTGTTAATTTCAATCAGCATTTTTTTTTAAGTATACACAGTACATATACGCTCAAGATACATATGTGCCATTCATTTCAGCGTTTTTCGGGATAGGGTTGCCACCTAATTTTTTTTTTTTTCAAAATATTTTTTTAAAGCTATCCTAATCTTGAAAACGTTAAATAGTATATGCACTCCGGGCAAAGCTCGATCAATCTGGTACTTCGGAAATATGCACCAAAAAATTTAATATTTTTTTAATTTTACAGGATTTTCTCTTTTATTTGATACCCACAATCTATTTCTACGTTACTCTGAAATTTTTTAATAATTTTTTGAAATAATCATATTTTTGAAATTTTAAAGTCCTAAACTTTCATACCGTTCTCATTAGCCTCCAACTTGTCCAGCCCTGGTATATTACATAAATGGGTTGAGTTCGGCTACCAGGAATTTCTGAAATGTCTTAATGCGATTACTCTATATGTACATATACATGTATCTAAAAAGATCTAAACAATAACCAACCTGCATTTCTCGCATAAGTTCGCCAAAAAAACAAAATGAAACAAAACCAATTGGATGAACAGTAAAGACATTTTTAATACACATATCTACTATATTTATATTTGAGGAATAGTTTGACGTTGACTCGACGAAGTGGTTTGGAAAATAGCAAATAATACATATACACATACAATACAGATAATAACAAAAAATATATATGGAAATAGAATTATGTGCATTGGTAAAATTATAATAAGTTCTATCAAATAAAAGTAATTACTAGCGATTCTCGTTGCTTAAACTAACAAACGATAAATCAAACAAAACAATTCAACTTTGCTAAAATAATCAACATTACAGCTAACAAATATTATTTATAATTAAATAGAAATACTTTGCTGTTTTACCCGAATAAATGTATGTTTGTATGTAATTTTTCTCAGCCATGTAAACACAAAAACGGATATGGAACTTATTTGTTGAAATTTTTTTTTTGCCTTTATTTAATATCACTCTTTTCATACACATATACATACATACACATATATGTATGTATATAAATTTAACTATGTATGTACATATGTATGTGGCATTCAATGCTTTTTAACTGCAAATCATGTAGCATCATCCTTATCCATACGATCCTCTGATATACTCGATCGCTTGCCATTAGCGTGGTGTTGTTGTTTAACTTCGTCTTGACTGGAGACAGTGATCTTTGAATTACTCAGATCGGTTTCTTCGGGTATCACTTTGGTAGTATCTTGATCCTAAGTGAAAGCGAGAGGAAAGAGAAATACATTTTGAGTTATTGATAGGCGTTAAGCTTTTTGTTGTATTCAATAATGCACATGCACTTGAAATTGTACAAATGTTACAAACAATGTGTCTGTAAATATAAATGCAACATATTACAGGGGGGAACTTGAAAAAGGGAATACGAATTTAAAGTACTATCTACATATGTACGTAGTATATATATTTATGTACAGAGGGCGGAATAAAAAGTCCACATTCCGGTCAAGCAGTTGGCATGGCACACAATCAATGTTAATTTTAATTATATCTTGTTCATAACAGATTATACATACAAATATGCATTTGCGCACATTAGGGTGTATCTGCCTCCGAACAAAAAAAAAAACGGTTCCGTTTATCCATCGGAAATATAAAATGTGTTATATTTAAGACTTTCGACAAAATATTTCGAAAAAATATAAGGAATTTAGTTAGCTGGAACTATTTGAAAGTACATCCAAAATTCGTGTTTTTCATAAATGAAATTAGTTTTTGAAAATACTTTTTCTACAAAATAACCTTAGATGATATTAGAGTTTAAGCTTAAAAAGTCTGCATAAAAATGTTACAAATTTTTATTAGCGGTATCAAAATCTTAATATTTTTGCGAAATATTTTGACGGAAGTCTTAAAATATAATACATTTTATAATTCCGGTAAAAAAAGCCGCAATTTTTTTTGATAATCCAACCTAATGTACATAGATTTGTTTAAATTCATTGTTATGTGCCTTATATTCTAAGAATTTTTTAATTACTCTGTTTTATTTAGTATCACGAATAGGTTCAAATTAATAAATAACGAGTTCATGCAAACATATTTCCAAATATGGCAGTTTTTATTCACAAATTAAAAAAATGTTTGCAAATATTTACAATGTACTCAATTAGCGAGCTACAAGTATTATGACTAAGAAAATCTAGTTTCAGTTATGTTAAGAACCACCAAGTGAACGCTTTGTATTCGGTTGCTGTTGAAGAGCTTAACACCTTACCTTCTACTTGCCTCATGAGGCTCAACTAGCCTCACCTTAATTCACCTCAACTCAACTCAATCCACCTCACCTAATCTGCGCTCAGCGAAGCAAATCACAAATCGATTTTATTTCTGAAAATACCGAAATAGCCTCGAATAACCCGAAACAGTCTCGGAAATCGATAACTATTCCCAAAACCCGAAATAGTCCTGAAAATAGTGAAGTAGTCTCGACGATTGCGAAATAGCGCCTACAATCCTGAGATAGTTCTGAAAGCCCTATATAGTCTGGAAAATCTTAAAATAGTATCGAGAAACCCGATAATTCCGAAATAGTCTTGAAAATCCCTAACTAGACCTGAGGATGCCGAAGACCTTAAAAATCCTGAAATAGTCCCGAAAATAAAGAATAAGCCCCAAAGACCCGAATATCCCGAGGTAACTCTGAAAGTATCGATATAGTTTCGAAAATCTCGAAATATTCTTGAGAACCCCAAAACTACGAAATTCCTGATATAGTCCCGCCATTCCCGAAGAGGCGTCGACATCACAAATGGTTTCGAGAATCTCGATAATTTTTTATAAAGATATAGTTCATACTACTCCAAAAAAAAGGAATGAAAAATAAAATCTCTAAACTTTGTGGAAAACTCAGGAAAATTCAATAAAAAAATAAAAAATCTAAGTATGCATTTTTATAGCCCATTCAATTTTAGTATAACAATTGCATTAGATAAGGATTAGGGCTTTGAGCCACCTAACAGTAGTAAGGGACTTTATTTTTACGAATCTCGAAACTCCCGCGATTGTCCCGAGAATCCCGAATTAGTCTTGAAAATAATAAAGAAGACCGAGAAACCCGAAAATCTTGAAAATCCCGAAATAGTTCCGCAAATCCAGAAGAAGTCCCTAGACCCGAATATCCCGAAATTCTTAATCTTTTAATTAGGTATACGTGCATTTGCCCGTGTGTATGCCTGAGCATTGTAAAGCCGTACTACATTTATGTACATAGTTACAAATCCCCAATACCAATACACTTGTACTCATTTTAGTGCTTCAACAGCTTTAATAACTAACTGTTGTGGCGGAACGTTTTCTGTATGATCAGTCACCACTTTTAAATTACTCATACCAGCACATACGTACAAAGCAGCCCAGTACGAAAACAACACCAGAGGTTATGAAAGTCGCCTAAAAAGCATAGAAGTCATTCATTACCGATCACTGATGTTTCCAAAGAGGCATTAATATATTTTCTCGAAAAAGTTAAAATTTTGAATAGAAAGTATAAAATCCCTGCACTAGTCTTCCCACTTAGAGATATCTGACAAGGTCAAGTACTTAGGCTTGATCTTCGACAGGAAACTGTAATGGAGGCCGAACATCGAGGAAAAGCAAGGAAGGCATCAGTGGCCTTATGCTGTTGTAGGTGAGCTATTAAACGGAGGTGGGGCTTTACGAAACCATAGTCAACCCCATTTTGTTTTATGGAACTCACTTCAGAAGGCTGCACTAGCTAAGAATTCGTGCGCCTACGCCGGTCTGCTTTAATTGGTATTAGTGCGGCACTATGGACCACCCCAATTTTGTCACTTAACGTAATGCTGTGAATTACTGCAAAGCGAACCGCTATTAGACTCAGGTAAGCCAATTGGTTGACCGGCTTAAAGACGGAAAACTCTGGAGTTCTGGGTCTTCGCTTTCAGCCCTGATCGCTCTGATTACTACACCACCGAAATGACTGCTAGAAGCTCCTTCTATGCCAAATCTCCAGGCCGGATTGGGCTGGGCATAATTTCAGGAGAGAGGGAGCAGTGTAGTTCATCACGGATTAATCGAAACATGACGGCAGGTTTGGCGAAGGGGTCTTCTGCCGAGAGTTTTCCATCAGTACTAAGTTCAGGATTCAGGACTAAGGGATTGTATTTCAGGCAGAAGTTGATGCCATTAAGGGGGCAGTATATTCACTGCTTAGGAGTGTGATGACTTTTTAGGGAGGTGGGTGTTTATACTGATAGGCAAGCAGCTATTAGGGCCTTAAGTTTATTGGAGGCGCGCTCTAATTTAGTTAAAGAATGTCTGTCCTCTCTTTCAGTTGCGTCGGAATAGACCTGTATTAGGTTTATATGGGTTCCGAGTCACAGTGACATTGCGGAGAACTTTGTGGCAGTTTCTAGGGTACTCTTTTAATGTTATTGCTGGATAAGGAGCGGCTGGGTGTGCTGTCCAATCGGTATCAATTCAGCAAGACCCGGAAGATGACGAGATGGACTCACCTGAACACTAGCTTTTTAAGTGTCCAGCTATCGCGAGGCTAAGATTGAAATACTTTGACTCGCAAACCCGTAATAGCCTCGAGGAGCTCTAGGGCATTGAGATTAGCAGAATTCATAATTATATAATCAGCTCGAAGAGTTTTATCGATTAAGTATTGGGTGTTGTTAAAAATGTGCTACCAAAGTGAGTTCCCATTGTTCTTGGTGAACAATTTTCAACTGGGTACAAAAATTCGTCCATAAATCACATTGAGGTTGCATATTTGTTCAACTCCAAATAAATTGCGTAGAAACAAATAATATCGAAATTCATATAAATACTATTTGCATATGTGTGTAAAATAAAATTCATAGTCATACACCAATGCGTATGAGTTTTGAAGTATATTTGAGTGCAGGCATGAGTGCATATGCATTTACCTATGCTCATATAGGCATAAATATACATACATATATTCATGCGTGTGTAATTTCTTTGCTCAGCAGTAGTGGCATAGTCAAACTGCAATATGCGCAATTGAGCAGCTGCATTAATGTATGATTGCATACAAAGTGGAAAATATCAAGCGCTGATGCAAATCGAAATAAACAGACACCTACACATACACATCATTCATATGCATATGCATATACATATTTTTGAGTAGGTACTGTCATATCCACAAGTGAATACAAAATACATACCCATCCTCAAGCTTATATGCAACTTATAAAATATGGCACAGGCAAAGTGCAACGCCATAGCATACCGCAGTGGCGGAAGTGCCTATATTCAATGTTGGTATATCTGTATGTATTTATGTATGTGTGCATGTGTAAGTAAAGTGTGTAGTAAAAGTGTTTGGTTGGCGAAATGGAAATCTCATTCATTCGCTTGATTGGTTGCATTTCTGATATTGAAGGATATCTATGCTGTAGAAGGAAGGAAAAGTAATTGCATTTGATATACAGCACAATAAGGCAGTTATGTATATGTAGGTATTAGAGTCCAGCGCAATTGTATTTGCCGCATTTCATTCAATAAGTACTCCTTGCATTGTACTCTACTCCCAACACATTGTTACTTTTTTTCCGCATACATACACTACTTGGCGTTGAGAGAGTAAATAATTGACGTACTTGCTATTACTCCACCAAAGTACGTACTCTACTTTCCCTCATCGCGTACGAGAGATATTTGCTGCTGCCAAAAGGGAGTAGCAAATCTACTCTCTGTATACTTGTAGTACGGTAAGTACTTGCGTATTAAATTTCAATTCTGGTTGTTAGCCTACTAGTTGATATCGTTTGCAGCGCTGGTCAGTGAAATTGAAAGAGTAAAAATAGAATATGGAAATCGACGATGTAAGGAAATGTTTACGGCCTTATTTATAAAAAATAACGTAGATTTAGACAGTTGTTTAATGTGACATTTACATAAAACTTTTGTATTCAAGCAGCTTTTTAAATCTATGTGTGTACTTAAATTTTTATGAAAGTATTATTTCTCGTCTCTAATTTTCTATAAAACTATTTGCAGTCATTAACCAACAAATAAGTTGTCAAAAACAATAACTTAAGCAATGCTGCTATACGAAATAAAATTATTAGTAGCAAATCAAAATTTTGAAAAGTGCCGATTTTCACATTCGATAGTTGGACATGGTAGCGACGAGATGTACGAGCATTTTTTTCTTAAGAGCTGCATACTGATTTAAGAAATTTTTTATAGAAGAAAA